CATGCCTGGAGCTGATCCGTGCTGGTCGCTGAGGAAATACTTCAACTTCGCGCTGTGGATCGCCGGATCAGCTTTCACCGTGGACGAAGCGGAGTCCAGCCCAGGGTCGTCACATGTGGTTATCGCAAGCCCACCGTCCGCTCATTCATCCAATCCACCGGCCGTTCCTCACTCTAGGCCTCCGGCCACCGCTCACTCAAGGCCGCCGTGTGTGATGCTGTGTTTCGTTGTGAAAGCGAAACTACTTTGTTTGGCCTTCCAAAAGAGGACACAACTAGAAATCAGTGGTTAAGTTGTATTTACAACACTGTTCCAGAGCAGTTCAACCCAAATATTAATTTGTGTGCAGCACATTTTATGGAGGACTGTTTCCTGATCCTGGTAGATTAGACTACAATGCCGGCTGTTCTGACTCACGGACTGTAAGTACGTTTTCATTTAAAGGATTTGCCACTGACGATTCAAACGTGAGTTTTGAGCAGTATAGAGTAGCGCTTGTTTGTAATTTCTCTGATCACAAATGCAGACATGGTTTTATGTTTACGCAGCGCGATGCAACGCAACACGTAAAAAGACAGTATAAGTCATTATAATCCGTAATTATGTCCCCCACTGGATGCAACAAATGCCTTGTTTGTAATGAGTTTTCATGTTTTTGAATCGTCGCTCTGGCCGGACAGGGCATCACAGTATGGTAAGGGTGTAACATATGTCACACGCTTGAGGTATTCGGCCAATCACAACGCACTGGACAGCTGGCCAATCAGAGCACACCTCGCTTTTCAGACCCATGAGCTTTGTAAAAATCGACGCGTTTCAGAAAGGCGGGACATAGAGGAGAAACAATAATGTACAGTAGCCTATGTGGAAAATAATGTTTTTTTTACTTTAAACCGCATAAACACAAATACACAAAATAATGTTTTTTTTAGCAACATCATATGACCCCTTTAAAAATTTCTACGTAGGAGTCTTAGCTTAAAAGTGATTCAGGACCAATCTGAGAGCAACTCTGAGCAAGGAAAAGACAAAAACTTTTATTTTAGTGAGGAGGCGGGGCTGAACCCGTTGCTAGCTATGACATGTCTTTTGAAGACTGTGACTGGTTGGTTGTCTAAGAAGGAAATAAAAGAGAGCTTTTAAGAGTAGGGTCTATTATAAGCCTTCACTTATAATTTACAGGCTAATTTTTCCTGTTTTACCATACTCTCTCTCTCTCTCACACACACACAAATATCAGAATATTCTCGGCCTGAGTCCGACACGAGCCTGTGTCTTTTCTCTCTCTCTCTCTTACTTCCCCTTTACACAGCTGCTGTTGCAGCAAATAGGCTAGTCCAGTTTTGGTTTTTAATGGCAAAGTGGTTATATTTCTTTTCGTTTCTTTATTAAGTTAATTCAGAAATATATTTGGAACATTTTATGTTTGTTAAATTCAAGTTTTTTTTTTTTAAGTAACGACCAAGCGGCCAGCGGCGAACTGAGTTGAGCAATTTAGCCTTCTCGAATCAACATGACTTGCCTCAAGTAAAATATATAGACATAAAACACTTCATTCAATTCACAATATCAATTAAAAAATTTAACCTAGATGTGTGCTGTTAGACGCATATACAGTCGTTTGTGCGGAGAGTGGAAGCTAAAGCGCGCTCTGCAGCACATGGAGGCGCCAGTGCGATCACTTGCATTTTTTTCTTAAGAGTGGAAACTTAACATACGCCGTCATTTTTGCTCATAAAGGTAAGTGTAATACATCATTCGTAATTGTAAAGGATCTACTTTTATTTATGTGCACTCACAAACAATATCAACAAAAACCTGTGCTTTTGTAAAATAATTTACTCAAGTTAAAACACTTTCATCATCCTCATGAATGTATGCTGGTTTACCTAAAGGCTGCGACACACACCAGTTAATAATAATTGCGCAGTGTGAGATTGATTGTCATAACAGAACTTTGTGAGATCGCGATGAACAAATAGTGAGAGTTTTTTAGTGGTTAAAAAAGGAGCGCTCTTTGCCAGCTTTCAAGGCAATAATCCATTTAAAATGTAGAACTTTGTTTTTCGGCCACACACACGTTGCAAAGTTTCGGGAATGACATCCACATATTTATGCTGGATTAGCTCTTGAAGTAGTAGTGACTGACATAGTGATAACCATAGCAATAGATGGGAC